GATTTGCGAGATAGGCACCATCCAACAGATGCACAAGCACGTACGCAGCTCGTGCACCCTCCGGCAGGGCGAAACCTGAACAGTAGTGCAAAAAACGGTTATTGATCGATTTCCAGTATATAAGCGGAAATTTTACCAAGTACTAGGTAACATGGTATTCCGTACGAAAGCAGCCAACAGCAGAGTAATGTCGCATGTTCTTCCTCATCACCACAACCAAGTGATAAGAACTGAAATCAGCATTAAGAGTAAATGGTTGAGGCGCAATTCGGCTTGGAGGGGGGCATTTTGCGCTTCTGCTAATTCGCCTTGTTAGTTCATGTTCAGTGGAAGGTTCAACTTTGCTGTGACCTGTGAACACTTGTGAAGTTGCGAGATGGTACAAGTGATCACTTTGATGAGAGAAGGTATCGTCATAGGGTAGCCACTACAAGCTTCAGGGTGCCATTTGATGCCCCCACCGAACCGAATCGCGCCCCTCTGAGGATTACTCCATAATTTTGACTTTTACTCATGGCCAACAAGGTTGCCAAGTATGCGCTGAACTTGCGGGATGTTTATCTCTGTGTCTTTGGGGAATGAACTCTCGCTCTCTTCAAAATGGGGCGATTTCTCACAAGCAGAGGAGCGGAAGGAGACTCGTAGTCATCGCGGTCTTCTTTATAGGCGCCCACTTCATATTACCGTATTAAGGGAGGGTAAGTAAACAAGGGCGGCATTATACTTATGGTTCTACGCCCACTAGTTTATCGAGGAATGTAGTATTGATGGTGATCAAAAAGAATTGAAGGCTTATTCCATGCTGGTATTCTTGGGATTCTTGGGATCTATACGGATCTTAGAGCTTTTGGGATTCGAAAGGACTTCTTTCTGTGCGCAGTTCGGCGACGGGGAGGGGGTATTTCGCACTTTCGCTGCTTCACCAGCTCCGAGTTACAAGTCTCACTCTGGTGAAACTTGTGAACTCTTGCGAACCTGGAGCAAGCTGGTCTTCGATCCCACTGGTAGAACCTGTCATACTCAGTGAAGCTAATGAAATTAGTTCATTCCTCCGGCCTCAAATACAAAGTCTACGAGTAGCAAAAACAGCGAAATCCCCCCTGGCCGAAACTAGCCCCATTTTGAGCAACATAGAAAAAAGAAACTGTAAAGACAAGGCTCTTTTCAGTACTCGCGCAATACTTCAGACAAGGCTCTTTTCAGTATTCTCCACAATACATCAAGCAGTTCCAGTCGGGGTTCCAGTCTCTTAGAAACAAAAAAATTGCGAAAGAATTACTGACCTTTTCGTTGGTGGTCCAAAGATCCGTTCGGAACCGGTGGAAAAGATTTTTAGAGACTGTCGATCGGTGACAACGAATCATCTATACTTTAGACGAGCAGCGATTTCAACTGTTTGTCGTGGATTTGATCCGGGATGTGGAACGATATCCGGTGGATTAACAGGACCAAGAAACCTGGAAAATTGTGTCGACAATAGGTAGTTTCATTTTCATAAGCGAGACTGGTGCTATGGGCCTGAGAGGGCGCATGTTCTGCATCGATGAGAACCACAAAATGCTCCTCGAACATCAGAGGAGTTGCACACCGGTAATGCTCAAAAATCAATATATCGATCGATCTGGGATCAAGCAAATTGGCAAAGGAGGCAAGAAAAAGAGTAGGAGATGGGTGAACTCCTTCACTGAGAGAGTTTTGTACACGAAATTCATGAGATGCAGAGCGTAACCCCCATCGAAATTTCGATCAATACCTAGTAACTATCGAACGCTATCGACTGAAGACTAACAGACTCACCGACACAGCAACAACCGGCCTTCTACATTGATATCCGTCACAAGGGCTGTATATCGACGAGACTCGTACATTGCAATGCAGGATTTTGCCCACAATTCGCATTGAGAGAGTACCTGAAGTGTCTCAGAAATCGTACACCAATCGATATCTGTGCAAACGTGCGCAATTTTGAAATGGCTACCTTCATCGCTTTCCACCTGCGGCAACACGTCGTTAGGGTGTGATTCGCGGTGGAACCATGGGAGCATCAATGCGCATCAGCGCACTATTCACGTACGTGACGGTCAGCGATATCCTGAAACTATCGGCCCAACCTTTGCTTTTTATCAGTCAGGAACTGTCACTAACCAGAAAATGAAAGAAATTTTAGCTGAAACTGCATCTACGGGGATGTGGCTGGCGGTCATAAGGTCCACGTTGCAGCGCCAACTCGGCGTGATAACTTGTCTTTGCTGCCACCAGTAGAGCGCTGGCCGCATGCAGACGCCACATCTTTCAGGGGGGTCTTCTGACCGACATCCTATCTAAATCAGCCCCCTAAACACGAGTTCTAGCACAGTCCTGTATTTGGGGCTGTGTTAGTGCCTCAGGTTCTTCCCGCTGAATTTGTCCCGGTGTTACGTACAGTCTTATTTGCTGCGCATGCCAGGGCGTGCCAGGAGGCTGGGCTTGGAGCGGCCCAATCCGTTTCCTACTAATTGTGAAAAGTGGTTAGCGACCACTGGAGAATGGATTGGCACTGCTACAAGCCCTGCCCCTGGCACGCCTCAAAATCTACTGCAAAGAAACCGTTACATTCAAAGCCATCCTGGCCTCAAATGGCTCCAGCGCTAAAAATATGTGTTACGTGGGTAAAACGAGGCTAGGATAACTTCCCTCGAAGAAGTTTCCAACATCTTTAATAAATGTGTGTTAAATTATGAAACGATATTAGTTGATAGCTCCCTAGTTCCCCTGAACTCACCTGGTACTCTGAAGGCACGATCTGCGCTGATCGCATCGGAGGGGAAAGAGAGTCATTGTACCCTTTCCATTGGCACACTCTTCCTCATTGCTGTTATGGAAGGTGAAGCACAACATTAAGGAGGACATAATGGTTGACTCTCTCCGCCCATGTTTCTACCCTTACGATTAACACGGATTCTTGCCTTTAAAGTGAAATCATCGAGTCCTGCGAATGTGATGCGGTAGTTCTATCCTTCAGAACGATTCCGTTCGGAGCTGACGGTTCAGAGAACGAATTTCATCTCCGAAGTTGGCGCCCGAGCTCAACATAATCATACACAGCCTCAAAACGTGGAATCCCAAGAAAAATCTCTCCTGATCTTGGCGCTACCGTTTCCAGTCATGGCATTTTCGACCCACCGTCACCGTGCATAGGCTTTCAATGCCGGCCCC